CCTTTCTTCAGTATAAAACAGTGCTGATTATTACAAGTTGAGACAGCTCAGGAGCTGACACCTGGTGTGTTGTGGAGCCTCAGGCAAATAAAATGTATTTCTCAAATTTACTCATGATTAGGTCCAGTCCAGCCTGAGCCAATTTWGTGCCAAATAAGGCAAGTTTCCAGGTGGTGCCTCTGATGCAATTTTCTAAATCTCACTGATGATTTACATACCAAATTAAATAATTTTGGATTTGATATTGTTATCTTTAGAATGCAGGCTGTCCAATTAAAATAGTTAATACAATTTATTTAAAATACCGGTAGTCTACAGGACGGTCGATAGCACAGGTATCTAATTTCTAAAACATAAGAGATTCACAGAAGTAATTTTCAGGTAAGTAAACAGCAAGAAGACTGAGAACCAGTTAGTAAGTAATAGTCTTTTAAATCCTAGGAGGTCATCAGCTGAAATCATCTGCAGCTGCTGTGTTCTGCAGGTACTGAATTCCCACTAATATCCTCTGCAGTGCACCATATAACACCTCATGTAGAAACAAAGCAGCTGAGGAACTCACAGAACAATTACCTTTATAAACCTGAGTAACCAGTGACTATTCTACAGACTAGATTAACTACATTCTTATAAAAAGTTATAAAATATTTTTTGTCCCTTATTTGTGGCACCCCCCTTGATGAATGGTGTCCTTAGCATTTGCCTATACTGCCTATGCTACGGGCCGGTTCTGCTCACARTTACTCAGAATTAACAGGTGTGAAGAAAGTTTATAGGAAAGCCTATGCAGTTAGTTAAAAGCTGTAATGAACATGTTTGATGTATTTTTATTTGTAAAACTATAAAAAGGTTTAAGTGGTGTTTGAAGGTCAAAACAAAAAAAATGTGTTTTATGATCATTTAATATCTTATAGCAGGTATTAAAAGGTTGAAGCAGGTCATTTGAAAATACACATTTTGGCTGTTTAGTGTCAGTTTTGCCAACAAAACCACATTTCTGTTCTTTTCCTTCTAGGGAAAAAATACTTTTGAGATGAAAATGGGCAAAAAAAGTTTGTCTATTTTGAAATCAAACACTGGCATCAGTTATCTTTTCCTGTTTTGGTGTTCTCAGTGATGACAAAGAAAGACACGCTGTTTCTCTTTAATTTAAACAGATKTCCTTCCAAGTATTACGCAGATCTTTATTTTGTTATTTTCAATTTTATTTTTTATTTTAAAATAAACATYGACATGGACTTGAATACTTCTTTACCCTCCACTTTTTTCCTTTTTTGGTGTCTTTTTTCTTTACATTTAACTATCGATTTTATTTTCTCACTTTCTAAATGTGAAGCAAGAGCAGAAAACCTTTATCTGACACAGCATGAAGACGCTAACGGAAGTGGTAACATTAGTTACTATCATTTTCCTTCAGGAAATGACACTAGCCCATCCAACCTCAATTTCTGTGAMCAAGTACACCAAGTACTCACACACAAAGCCACCCACCCATACACGCACGCACGCGAGCGCGCACACACACGCACACACACACACACACAGAGTTATCTTTATGGGGACCTGGCTTTGACTTCCATTATTTTCTACAGTCTAACCCTGACCACCAACCCTAACAGGTTAGGGTTACACCTGACCCTAAAACTAACTGAAACTCAATTCACACCTTAGTCCTAAACTTAACTCCCAACCCACCAACGGCATTTCCCTTTATGGGGACTAGATTCAGGTCCCCACAAGTAGGTGTGTATGCCAAAAAAAACTGTTCCACAATGTAGGGAATACCAGTCCACACACACACACACACACACACACACACACACACACA